TTCTTATTTCCCTTTTTATAGATAGGCACTATATTTGCCCTTTTCCAGTCCTCTGGAATCTCTCCTGTCTCCCCTAGTTTTCCAAAGATGATAGCTAGAGGCTCAGATACTTCCTCTATCAGCTCTGAGTATTCTAGGATGCATTTCATCAGGCCCTGGTGACTTGCAGGCATCTAACTTTTCTTGGTGATTTTTGACTTTTTTTTTTATTTTACCTTCTAAAACTATCACCTTCCCACTAGCATTCACTATGTTAGGCATTCCTACAGACTTCTCGGTGAAGGCCAAAACAAAGAAGTCATTGAGCATCTCTGCCCTTTCCAAGTTTACTGTTACTGTTCTCCCTCCTCACTGACCATTGGGCTACGCTCTCCTTGGTCTTTCTCTTGCGCCAGATTCAATTTAATGTTCATACAGTAAATAAACAGACCCCCAACCACTGTGATTATTTGGATGCAGGTTGTAGATCCAGTCTTGTCTCATGTTGCAAATGTCACAATAAAACAAATCAACTGCAACCTTCGGAACTCACTGCCACAGGGATTGCTCAGAGAAGCCTTCTTGCAAAAGTATTCTTGCGCAAGAGGGCTGGTGTAGACAGCCAAGTTAATTTCTTGCCCAAGAGAGCATCTACACTGGCACTGATGCTTTTGCGCAATAGCAAATCTTTTGCGCAAAGGCACATGCCAGTATAGATGCTCTCTTGCACAAATACTTTTAACTGAAAAGTTTTTCCATTAAAAGCATTTGCGCAAAATCATGCCAGTCTAGACACAACCTTCCCTTTACTCCCATAGCTAGTCTGAGCTCATTCTGTGCCTTTGCCTTTCTAATCTTGCCCCTGCATTCCTATGCTGTTTCCTATATTCATCCTTTGTAATTTTTCCTACTCCAATTTTTATATGACTCCTTTTTTATTTTTAGATCATGCAAGATCTCATGGTTAAGCCAAGGCAGTCTTTTGCCGTATTTTCTATCTTTCCGACACATCGGAATAGATTTTTTTTTGGTGTTTTGTTCTAAAAGTAACAAAAATACTGTTACATAATATGTACTGTTTGGTTGTATTTTGTGTTTTTGATGACTTGAACAACAAAAACATAGATGCTGAATGTGAAAATTTTTCACTCAGAAGTTGATAGGATTCCCACATTTCCCAATAGTTTGAATGTCTCTGTATCTTTGTCTGTTCTCTTGACAATACAGTAAGGCCTGGTCTACACTAGACCTGGCAGGTCGGCTTAAGGTACGCCATCCCACCATGCAAAATGTGTAGCTGGAATCAGCTTACCTTAAGCCAAGCAGCCGTGGCATATTGTCAAGGATCGTCCCCACTCTAGCATGAAGAATGCAGGGCTACGTCTAGACTGGCATGATTTTCCGCAAATGCTTTTAATGAAAATTTTTCCGTTAAAAGCATTTGCAGAAAAAAGCATCTAGATTGC